AGCGCTTATTCCACTGAGCCATCTCCCCAGCCCCTACAATTCTCTTCATGGTGTAAATATTTCTCTAAGTTTTCTGTGCTTTTGTGTTGTTACCTTCCCCATAAAGCAGAGAACAGTCAGTAACTGCAGCACATATTCTACTTCATGTCAGAGAGGAGAAGTGCAGTAAACGTGAGCTCATCATGGCTCAGCTCCCTCTGATAAGAGGGCTCTGGCTGCGCTCCTCCCACATGCTCTCCACGCTTTCACCCACAGTTGGGTTTCTGCTGCCCTTGCTTCCCATCCCGCAGTGTTGGTGTTTTGGATGGGCTATGTCTTCTCCTAGCACCTGAGCATCCACAGCCCATGCTTCCTATGAGATTGTGGACACAGACTACTGTCAGAGAGGGCCACCATCCCCTGTCTCAGCACTGTCAGGATCCTGCCTGGCCCTTATGGGCATAAACACCCTGAGTGTGCCCTGAACTGCAAGCCCTTCTTTATCCTTTCTTCTCGCATCTTCTGGTTCAGCATCTCATGAGATGACCAGAGATCAGTATTTTCTTGGCAGACATCAGAGCCTCTTGCGCAGACTCTTGGATTTCCAGGGCTCCAAGGTGATCCCAAGGGCACAGCATCTCCAGCCCCCACAGCTTGTTTCCCACTTTGTTCCTCTGTGAGTTTATCCAAAAGTCCTCTCCTTCACAGCTTTACAGAACCCCTGAATTCCCTGGAATATCGCCCCAACTCATGAGCCTCCTTAGCCTCTACACCTGGTTCTGTCCCATTGGGTTCCCTTTGTACCTGATTCCTCCTTCAAACCCTGGCCAGGCTTCTGGTCAATTTTTTTCCCCACAAAGGTCCCTCCAAAACTCCATGGGATCCAGACCAGCAGATTATGACTTCTAGATGTTTCTAGATGTTTCTGAGCATCCCCCCAGTCACTGTCAACTTATGCCTATGTCTGAAGCCCTGCTATTTTTTTTTCCTACTCTCATTTCTGCAAACATGCACAGTTCTATCCACCAAGTCTCAGATCCAGTAGTTTCTCCTAGATTCCCTCAGTAGTGAATGGGGCTCTCTGGTAGGCAGATAGATCAGAGACTTAGGTCCTAGGAAAAATATTTAAAGGGAGAGAAAGGAAGTGGTTGCAGTTCTGTGGAAACGACTGGTACAAGTGTCAAAGCCACGTGTTCACTGTCATGGTGAGGGACATTGCAGCACTTTGCAGACAGACATTAACCCTATTCCATTAGCATAAAGATGAATGAGAACCTTCCTCCTGAGATTGAAGGACCAGTGACAGGGAGCACACAAACCCACTAAGCCAACACACAGGCCATATTTTGGGTCCTTTCTAGCCCACTTCAGATATGAGTGTATTTCATTAAAACTCATGTTATCTTGGAAAATTCCTTGTACCCCATTCCTCTATTGTTATACTGGACTAAGTTTCCAAATTGGAAAATCATGAGGCTGGGGGTCACAGCACAAACAGGACGCCTCTCTTAACCTGTGTGTTCCCCATGGCAGGCTTGGATGACTTCCCTGCTTCTCAAGTGCTGCACTTATTTTTCCTTTCATAACTCATTTGTCCTTTCTGCCAGGCGCTAGGTCACTCTTCTTCTGCTATCTATTTACATCCATTTGCTTGACCAATGCATTATATTTTATTTTCTCTCTACCTGTCCTTGTGCTGGACTGCATGTCTTCTACCTCCTCCCAGTGGAGGCACTCAGGTCCCTTCCTTTCTATTTGGCTTACCTATCTGAGAGTTTCACATTCCAGTCTTGGTTCCCTTCACATTTCTCAGTTCCTTACTTGGCTCTTCATGTCCTCCTCCAACCCCACAATTTATTTTTATCCATTGTTCAAGGCCTTATGTCCTTCCATATCTCTTCGCTTCCTTCCACCCATTGTGTTAACCCACAGACCTGGGTCGTGTTCCCTCCCCCCTTTTCCAACCTTCCATAACTCTTCCAGTCCCTCTAGCCTCCTGTACTCTCTCCTCTTCCCTCTCTTCCACAGTTTCCAACTGTTGGCTTCAAGTTCTTGTAGTCCCTGCTCCTGCCTTTCTGTGAAAATCCTTCTGATTCAGCACTGAGACCTGGAATTTAATATGACCATATCTCTTACAATTACTGCTATGATTACATATGTACCCATACCCAGGATTCCTTGTAGAGGGTGTTAATTTCTCAGGCTACTGATTTTATAAGCATGAAAAGACAGGTGTTCTGGGGTGTTTGCATCTCTGCACTGGAAAATCTATTTTAGGACTCCAAGAAAACCTAGATTTGGTCTTTCTAGGATGCTTTGCTGCAGCTACACACAGACAGCACTGGCTCATCACTCGATGGAGCCACACAGCCTGGCTCTTTACAGGCTGTTTGTTGAAGACACCCGAGGTTGGACCCTGAGATCACTTCCTCCCTATATATCCACATTTGCAAGTCATCTATTGTTTAATGATTTGTCCTTTGAACCACTCTAAAATAGGCACACATTATAGGAGGGCTGGTTCCTAAATGCAGCCATATTTTAAGGTAGAAACTTTGCTATCACACAGTGGTAAGTGCATGAGTTGTCACACTTTCCCTCAGAAAAGCATTTTTGAACCAGGAATATAATCCTGCATTTATCAGATAAATGTAGGTACAAAGGCATCTGAATTTGCTAAACTTTTGTGAAGCAACATGTCTATTTTTAGAGCAAAACTAAATATCTTTCAGATTCATTATTGAATCAATTGTACTCCCCCCCAGCAATCTCAGTTTCATCTCAGTCTAAATCATCTCCAAATTCAAACGCATGACCCACCCCAAATTCTACTTACACTTTATAAGTGTATGCTTTTCTACAATACGTTCAAAACAAAGCAGAATTCCTGGGTTAAAGGAAGCAGTCAAAAGGATTTTCAAATGAGTAGAAGACTGATCGCATGCTCCCAATTTCTCCTCACAGCAATGAAGAAACAATTAAGATATAAATTTTATTTCTTTAATACAAGGCCTGTCCATTTCTATGTAATATTACCTATTGAAGTAATATTTTGATTTTGAAATTTTATTCTAGCAAATGTTACTTTTCTAACTTCCTAATTCTCAGTATATAAGTCAATTTCCATTTCAGTATTTTTTTTCTCTTGTATTCTTCTAAAACATGTGTTCTACCTGGACCTGTCCCACAGCTACCATTCATTCTTGGATAAAAGAGCTGGTAAGAAGAATAAATTTGAGGTTTTCATTGGCAAACAATTGCAACTAGAGACAACAATCTTAAGTGAAATGAGGCCTGCATGTGCAAACATCCTATTTTTCCTAATTGTAAGAATCTGACAGAATAAATAAAATCTGAATGGTATCATAGATACTGTGAAAGAGGAATAAACCTGTTCAAAAGCAAAGAATTACTGAGATGAGGAGAAGCCAGGAGACAGAATGGCTCAAAGAGATCTATCTCTGTGAGCACGGTGGCTGGGATAATTGTTCTGTGGGTCTCTGCGGGTCTATGAAAAGCAGAAGCTAATGCTTAATTTTCTGGGCCTTTTTCATTTAATTCTTTTTCTCTTTTAATATCTTATAACATTCTTGTTCTAATTTTTTGTATATATCTGGTAATAAACAACTAATTAGAAGACAACAGTGTTCAACACAACAAATAGTGTGGAATTCATATTGTTTAGTGAAATTCTGTATCATTTGTATTTTTCTTTTCTAGTAACGTTTAGTTCTCTTAAAAAACTAAAATAATAAAAATTGTAAAATAAAGCTCATAGTAGTGATTGTCTCATTTCAAATGATGCATTTACACCATGGGCGCATGCACTGGGTGGGCAGACGCAAGCATTTTCCTCATCACAGATCATTCTGTGGGATCCTGGTATTTATTTATTTATTTAGGCAGAACCAGGGATTGAACTCAGGCCTTTGCCTTGCCAGGGAAGCACTTATTCTACTGAGCCATCTCCCTGGCCCCCAGTCTGCAATATATTTAAATTTCTTATTTCATTTTGGCCCTGGAAATTTATTTTATAGTGTTAATTCCCCTTTACGTGTATTCTCATGTGATTCCTCTTTTGTATTTTTTTTTTTTAACATTTATTTAGTGTGTGTGTGTGTGTG